CCATGTTTCAAACAAATAATCTATCAAAATGGATATATTTAAGCTTAAGTTTAGCTTGGCAGACGAAAACAAGTTCAAACGGCTGATCGGTGGGACTTGAAAGTAGGCCTCTGGGAGCCATGAAACGTAGAAGTATTATCCTGAGCTGTCTTTTTCAACTTCCCTTGATAGTAGTGTTTGACGAGGCTATACTTTTAGTTTCTTATAGTCCATCCAATGTAAAATTAATTTTTAAACTGATAAAAAAAAAAAAAAAAAAAAAAAAAAAAAAAAAAAAGTCTACCGAGACTCGAACCCGGGATATCAAGAAGACGAGTGAGACGCGATGTCAGCTGCTCCACCGCGTCAACTTGAACAACTCGCCTCAATTTAAGGTTTCTGAACAAAATATTACCACAGTTATATAAAGTATAAAAATGTTAAAAATGGATTTTTCCTGAAGAATATTAGCATTTTTGCACTCAGCGACCCTAAAAACCCCTGAAAACTCATGTTGCGAGGTTTAAACATACATATCTGATTTAATGCCGCTTAAACCGGCTATTCGGACCATAGTGCGACGTCACCGCGAGCGCCCCTCGAATTACTTTCTATCGTTGTCCAGGTCTCGGCCTCCGAGTCACTTTAAAATCTCATAATTCATACGAAAAAATGAGGGGGAGGATTACGTCCTGAGGATTTGTCTCCAGACGAACGTTGCCACTTTTGGCCGGTTCAGACGACTCGGCCACCGCGCTAAGGAGAAATGGACTACATTTTGCATTTAGGAACTATAAATTCCGGCCCGGTTTAAAAACAACGTATGTGCCATTAGTTTCCCCATGCACATAAGTGTTTTTTCAGATGAGCCAGAATTTATAGGTCCAAATTGCAAAATGCAGTCCAAATGTCGTTACTGTATTCTTACGTCGTCAAAGGCCTTGCTCGCGCATTCCTTGCTTGCCTAGCCCAAACTTTCTTTACTATTTTTCTTTGGAAACGTAGTGAGCGTAATCTTTTGAAAACTCCCTTGAATTTTTCCCTCCGTCAGCAGAATATTCTACAAAAATTTCAGGCTTCAAAGTTGGCTTGTTTCTCCGCGAAAAAAGCAATTAGGGGCGGACATTTTGAAACTCCGAAATGTATAGATGCGTGGTTTTGCACTTTAACCATTGATATATCAACGCACAGAGAGAAATCAACACTAAAGTCTGATTAATACGGGAAGTGAAACACAAAATAACCCTAGCCTTTGGTTGACAATTTCAAGAGAAAATTTCAGCCAGTGTTCCTAAAGAAATTTTATAAAAAACGAGCAAATACCAACGTTGCAAGCGAAGGAATGCACTTTCTTAGTTTCTCCATTGTTTTCTGCCCTAAATTCATCGCAAACTGTACCCAAATCATGACAAATTTTGTGTTGATGTGTGTTTCACTTCCTTCATTAAGCAGAAGTAACGCGAGAAAACAATTTTTTTCATCTGTGTATTCGATGGAACGGCTTTCTTGGGGTTCGTGAGCTGGGGCCGCCGGGGGGCGTGCGCGGCAACAGGGCGTCTGCCTTCTCGACTTGTCAGTCGTCGGGCGGACCATTTGTAATCTGGACTGAGTCGCCTGATATTAGGGGCAGTTAAAAAGTAATTTGAGCAATGTGTCACTTCTAATGCGACGCGCGATCAATTCACCCTCGGCCACTTCTTTTTATTCTCTTCATAAAAGGGAGGAAAAATGAATATCCTTCTCGGAAGAGATGCGTTCTGTCTTGTTTATAGGAGGCTCCGACCGTTCCTTACCGCCCACCGCCGCTCGTAATAAATAAATGAACCGGGGTGCATGGGCGCATTCTCCGCTGTTGCCGAGTCTTGCGTCAACGCAGGGATGCAAAGTGCAGCAGGTTGATTGCTCAGGGTGTCTACTGTACGGAAAAAGTACAGATGCACTGAAAAAGCACGGATTTGGAAGGTCGGTACGGAAAAGGTACGGATTTTACGTGAAAAGGTACTGTCACTCAGGCTAACTTTGTGCGATAGGGTCTAACTTTGTGCCAATGGAAATTTCACCAACTGTTACAGATAGGAGGGAAAGGAAGATATGGGCTGCCATAGAAAAATAATAGGTTGGCAATGCTCTTTGAGAAAAAGAAGAAGTAAAGCAAAATAAGTGAAATTCCCATTTGCACAAAGTTAGACCCTTTCGCACAAAGTTAGCCTGAGTGACAGTACGGAAATTCGAGATTTTCATGATAAGTTCTAAAAAATGCGCTTTATATACGGGTATACGATTTCCTAAACCAATCCTATATCAAGTTTTCGGTTCCTTCAACCCAGTTCAAGTTCGGTTTCGATTTCTCGTGTTTTCCGGTGTATTCATTTGTCTCTCCATCACTCCACTTTCCCAATCCGAATGCAGTTAAAAATGCATGTGAGGTACGATAAAGTAAGGAAACATTAAGGATTTTTAGAATCGCCGATAAAAAGAATTTCCGGGAAAGTAAGAAAAAGCAAGAAAAAAGCACTGAAAAAGCAAGGAATTTGAATAGCAGGGTACCAGTAGACACCCTGATTGTTGCAATTGATAGACAAAGCTATAGACAAAGAAGATATAGGGTGTATGGAGAGATCTTATTGGTTGAAATGGGTGGTTCCTATAGACCAAGGGGGTAAATGAAGGACTAACTTTAGGGTCTTTCTTGGGTTGCCGTTAGTTCGTCTATCACGACATGTGTCCATTTCAACCACCCGCCTCCACCAATAGGATTCCTCCATATCCCTTTCGTCTTCTTTGTCTATAACTCTGTCTACCAATTTCAACAATCAGCCCGCAGCGCTGTGAAAAAACACCGTCGCTTGCGATTCAGGATCAGGGGAAGGCAAAGGAATTTGTAGGGTTTTATCGGAATTTTTCCCTTGTTAGATTTTGTGAACAAATCGGAAAGTTCATTAAGAAGTTAAAAAATGCGCTTCCAAGGTAGAATTTTCCAACGGTTAAAGCGCGAAATTTTGAAATTAATTCGCGTTATTGTATGAATTTTTGGGCGATAAAATCGATAGGGTCATCAGCATCTGATCGATTATCATGGATCTTATCGCAATTTTATCAATTTTATCTCTATAAAATTGTGTTCGATAAAACCGAATGTTTACCTCAAGTTATCACGATTTTTTGCCCGATAACATTATGATCAATCGCGATTTAATTGAAAATGTATGCAATGAAATGCGCCGGACGGACAGACAAACGCTTACGATGAAAATACTCCCTCTACCGCAAGAAGTACGAAAAAGTAAAAATTGCCCCGGTGGTTTTTTGCCCCTAGGAATCCTTAAGTTTTCTTACAATTGGTTTGGACATTACATTGGTCGAGTAAAGTCCAGAAATTCTAATTCTAAATTTCAGTCGCGTTTTTTTTCATTTGCACGGCAACACCGCGGCTCGTTACAGCTTACCGCGACCGAAGGCGGAACGCAGGCTGGAGGTATTTAAAATTTCCGCATCCCGAGTCATACCGTGGCTCCTCTGACCCAGGGACGGAACTGCATTCTGAGATGATCCCTCTTTTCCGTACAATTCCACGCACTCCAGGGCTCACATGAATCTTGCGTTACGCCCTTACGCTGCCGCACCGGAGCGGGACGTAAAAAACGGTGGTCATGGAAAAATGGTCTCACTCGGAGGGCACCGTACGAGAAAAATGAGGCTCAGTTATTGAATTTTATTTTGACGAGTTAATTAACTGGGCCTCCATAAAAACGAGGCCAAGAGTTAACCGTTCGCATGCTCGTAAGTATCCCACAAAACCTGTTGAAATCCCGCTGGATGGGAGACGGTCAGCGAGTGGGGCGTTATTACGAGGAGGTGCACAAGGGGGAGATTATGACTTTTTACTTAAGACATGGGTGGAAAGTCATAAACCCGGATCGGACTGGAAAGTGTCGTTTAAAGGCGCTAATGCTCCCGCGCGCTAAGGGATTACGTCGGCGTTTGAACGTGCAGCGAGACGTGGGCAATTTTCTCTGGTCAAATATTTAGCTTCGGGGGAAGTATAAACATTTCTCCTAAAAAGTTTTCAAATACTTAAATTTTTGTATACCTCGAATATATTTTTCTGAAAATTCGGAAGGAAAATATTCGTCAAGTTTCCTTGTTTGGTTTTTTATAAAAGGAAATGTAGCTAGGTCTAAGGCTCATACGACTCTCTTCTCTAGGGCGGCAAAATAGGATCCGATTCCCATACCATGAGCACTGTGCGAGGGCCTTTCTCCTCTCTGTCAAACAGAAAAAGAAGAATGAGGAGAAAAAAGAAAGAAAGAAAAAAGAAGTATAAATATAAAATAACAGATTGAGAAAACGAAGAAAATTCTTTGGAGGTCCCAGACAAATGAGGGACTTGGGAGACAAGTGGGATAAATGCAGTTTTCGCTGCTTCAAAAAAATACAAGTTTAAAGTTTCAATTAAATGCAGCCTTGTGGCGGAAAGAAAGTTTAAACTCACTTCTTGATGCTTAAAATTTATATTTTAGTTGTGAATTTTTCATAGAACATAAGTCAAGACTGGTTTAAGTAGTTGAAATAATTAATATCCTAATTTCCTCAAAAACTAATCTTATACCACTTGGACCGCATTGAGCAGAGAGGAACCAAGCCACATCAGCCGTCGCCAAATTTAATTGGGCAATTTGATTTTTCACACGAAAACGGCTGTGCGGATTTTTGTGCACATTTCCGTGAATTTTCTGCCCAGTGCGAATCAAATTCCTCAAAATTTTCACAGGAATACGCACAATAGTTCTCTTGTAAAAAATAAATTGCCCAGTTACATTTGGCAATAGCTGATGTGGCTTGTTTTCTCTCTGATAAACGCGGTGGACTTGTCCTGCAAGTTCCTCAAATGTTTCTTTAACAATTAAAACAACATTAAACTATTTTTCTAACGAGGAGGATCCCCTCGTACGGTATTGATGATATTGACGATAGTGTTTTTCATGAGAAGTAACACTAGCCTTTTTTTGTAAATGTTGCAGAGGCTGAGAAGGACCAGACGCGCGTCCTTTGGGCCGTGAGGGGGAAGGTGGCCCTCGACACGAAGATAATGCGCATGCGCCCGCAAGCGGCCAACCAGGCACCGAGAGGGAGGAGGCGAACAAGTGAGTATCTGTCAACACTCAATTATCTGTTCATTTCGAGGGTAGCCTCAAATGTCAAAATGACGGATGTCCCATTAGAAGTACACGGCCTATCCGTCGTTTTAAATGTGACGACGCTTCACATGCATACGTCTGTGTTCAGTGTCGCCAAGGTGGTGGAGCCAGGAGCCTAGCGAGCCCCAACACCAACGCCACCCCCACTGATTATGCTCTGGGATGGGAGTTATTTTTGCCAGAGGGTTCCAGTGTTTTCTCCAGGTGATTCGATTGGTCTGTTCGTGGTCTGGTATCGCCGGAACGACAATGTATAGCGATAGCTCATCGTGTATCGTAGAGTGTTTTTGTTTTTTTGCTAGAACGCCAGAAAAAAACTGGAAAAAAAGGAAAAAAATCAGCTTTTGTGAAAAATCTCCTCAGTGTTCTGGAGAATACTCCACTTCTCTTAGGGATGCAAAAAATACCCAACCTCTTGATCCGCAGACACCTCGTTACACAAGTATAGCAATTTGTGACTTTACAATTTTCCGCAGAGAAATTTCAAAGAAATAAGCAGGAAAAATTTCGCCCAAAATAAAAAATACGAGGTGAAGTCACCGTCCTGGTTGGACGTATTCCCGAGCAATCGTAGCATCTGAGGGTGATACCACTATTCGACCACTTGAGAGCTCGGGTTGCCTACTCTTCAAATTGAAGGCAAACTGACAGTGAGGTAAAGTAGTTAATGCTCCGCAAGCCGCGCTCGGTGAATTATTCCTCCCTCCTACGAGAGATCATGACATCTGAGAGTGATACAACTATACGACCACGTGGGCGCTCGGGTTGCCTACCTTGAATACTGAAGGCAAACTGACAGTTCGGCAAAGTCACCGCTACATTAATTAACATTTTAAACCAATGATCCCTCTCATGTCAGATCCAGATTCAGCAAATTTTCGGTTGGAAATGTGAATACGAATTGAATTTCACGTTTTTTTTCTTAAAATAAATTTGTATCAGTGACAGGCCAATTTTAATTCTTATCTAAAAACTTATTGATGTGCTGTGTTGCACGTGCAGTTGAGTTTTTTCTTTTGCACTCCTGTACGCCGTAGAGCAAGTCTGCTGAACTCTAGAAGCGTGATCTAGTAGCGCACTTTTCTGCAGATATGATCGTAAAATCCTAAGCCTTTGAAAATTTCCCTCTGAAATTGGCAACGACAATCGGTTCGATCAATCGCTCGGATAGACGAAGCGACGAAGCCATGCTAACGTGCTCATCTAAGCATTTCGTGATTCCCGTCAATAAGTGTTGTTTTGTGTTTTAATTGTTTTACTGGCTCACTATTGATGTTTGTTTCCTTGTTTATCTTTATCGTGTTTTTGTTCCCTTCTCCGTTGTCTTCGCCCATTCATACTTCCTTCCGCTGCGCCGGTTCAGTTCGGAGAAACTTAACGGAAAGGTCGAACCCACTAATCAATACTTGGATCAGGTCCGTGATCACGGAACCTTACTTCCATAAATAATCTACGCGTGAACCAGTTATTGAACATGTTACAGAGCGCTCCAATGTCTCTTACTACAACATTTAACTGTCGTATTTTGTTAGCGTTAAGAAAAAAGTTCCTCTCAACATTCCCAACTGTTGCAAAAATTCGATAACTTATTCGTTATTGCCGTTTTCATTTTTCTTCATTCTTCATTCGAAGACATGTGTTCGTGCAAACCCATGCAGTCGTATCATACACAAACAGAATAATCGTCGAAGTTTATCGCCGCCTATGTAGGACAGTTGGGGCACTCTGTGCATTCGACCAGGTTTTTTCTTTCATCTTTTTCATTAATGCGGCATCCTTCAGCGTCAGTACGATGGGCCGCCAGTAGGTATTCATTATTTTACATGACCCACGGTCCGTGCCCCTCTTAAATCATGCATTGTCTTCGTGTGCGCGGTGATCGCGGTGTGATGTGTAAATTTAAGACGAAAAAAAAAACGAGAAAAGAAGGGACCTTGAAAATTGGTATCGATTACGCTTCCAAGGAATGGACTGAAATCTCTTCTGGAGGCCCGACAGTAAGTCCATCTCCCCTCCTCCCAGATTGTCCTGCATGAATCAGAGCAGCGATGCCAAGTTTTTAACGTTGGAGGAGAAAGTTTGTCGGATACTCTGAGTATTTTGAGCCTTTTTTTTTTTTAATTGGAACTCCCTCATAATTTAAACGCTTGCGGTCCCGCAAGATTTTGGATTCCAATAGATTTTTGGATACGCAAAGAATTGAAAAGCCACGGTCTCCCTTTTTTAAAATCGAAAATATTTGTTTATTTTTTCGATCCAAACTATATTTGTGCCCCCTCCAGTACTATTTATTATTATATGACTATAGCTCTGACTTTGCGGCCATTTTTACACAACAGCACGATAGCTTATAGCTTCTAACTATACAAAAGTAAGTAGGTGACAGGAGTTTAGGACTACAGAAAGTATGATTTTATCTTATTAGAATTTCCACAGGAATGAAGAGCTAACAAATCAGATAAGAAAAAAGCTTGAGTAAAGGAAACAAAAAGTTCAAAGATAAAGGTAACTTGAAAACCCTTCTCTCAAGATTCCTTAAATATTGGAAGAAAACAACATTTACCTTCTATTTTTTGAGGCTGTCGTTAATTTTATGACAGCTTTGTTTTCCCAGATTTTTGTACTTTGTGGCAACTTAGTTGCCAATTTCAATCTCCCGACGTTTTTATCTGACATCAGCGCTTGAAATTCTGAAATTAAATAAGGCTGGCTTTGTATTTGTTGGCGGCTTTGTCAGTTGCCGTCATTACTCGAGTACTTCAACGCTCACGTGTCGACGAACGTAAAAAAGTCGCCGATGTAACCCTCAGATCCTGGAACATGAACGGAGAACACGGGAACGGAGGTGAAGTGTGAGATAATCCTCATGTCTGCTATGCTAAGGAAGGACACCATATGAGCCTTCAGATGTTGCCAAAGTTCCATCGGCAAATCAGGAATTTTAAAAAAACTTGTGAATAGTTTTCTTCCAATTTTACCGAGAATTTTGTTCGCAATTTGATCTAAAGTGTCTCAAAATCACAAGAAAAAATATGCGTAACTTCCTTCAGAACTGCAAATTTTCTGAAAAGCAATTTGGCAACATGCAAGTGTTTATACGGCGTTTGTCGTTAGCACAGCAGAGTCCAGCGTCATTCCCGGCGTCGTTGGTGTGGGTCAGCGTCGAGTTGAGCAGTGGCGTGGCGTGCTTTGCGATATATCGATTGATCTGCCATTCAAACCTATGGAAAAGGATCGATGAACAGGGTGTTCGCAGCGAACACCTTGATAATCGATTTTTTACCATAGGCTCAAATGGAGAAGTATCGATAGTCGCTCATTCACGCCACGCCACTGGAGTTGAGGCTGTTCGGATGTCTGTCCGTTCCGTTGAGTGTTGGCCATGTCGAGTCACTTGGTCAAGAGGTGTTAATTACAGCTGTAACGGACTCCGGCGCTGATTTAGTTCTCGAGTGACCACCGAGCACCGCTGAGACCTCGCTGATCACTTACACTTACGCAGTAGCTCATTGTCAGGAAAAAAAAACGTCCGCCCGCCAAGTCGACTCTCAAGTTTGTGATACTCCTTCGTAGCGTCGCGCATGGAGTTGTCATCCCAGGAAGTAAAAATGTATTGAAATAAGTTTGGTCTCATGGATCATTGCAAGATGTTCCATTACACAACAGTCTTATTTTACAGAGTGATCCTAAAGTTTCAAACTACTAGTATCAGACATCAATCCTGTAAATTTTGAAACAATGTGTCACTTGCGCTGGTCTTAGAATCGTATTTTTAGGTTTGATTCTTGTAGATTAGGTAAAAGTAACAAGATCCGTCCAAACAGCAACTTTTTAAGTTCAATATTAACCGAGATATTGCGCTTTGAAAAATTCCGCCTATGACGTCATCCACTTCGGTGGTGACATCCTTGGTTTCTCCCCCCCCCCCCCCCCCCCCCCNAAAAATTGGCGATAAGAGCTGCGTTTCAAAATACCGTAGGAATTCTTATAGCCGGCTAAAGAAGGCTACAGAAAATCATATAGCTGACTGTAGAATGCGGAGAAAAGCATACGGCCGGGCTATACGAAGCGATAAAAAATTATGCAGCCGGGCGGCTACAGTTTCTATCGCCGGGCTTTACACTTTATCGCCATCGATTATAGAAGGCTATAAGAAATTGTGTAGAAATTCGTGTGCTTTGGAAATCAATAAGTTTGATACGGAACCACCTTAATATTTACAAAACACACATTATATTTTCCTTTGGTGCATATTTTTTTCTCATCAATTCAAATGAGAATAATCCATACAGGATGTGCAAACATTTCAAAATCATGAGTTGAATAACATGAGTCCATGAGTAACATGAGTCATGAGTCTGACTCCGCCAGATTAAATATTAGAGACCAACACAAAGCGGAGCGGTGACGCATTGGCGCCTGCAAACCTAACAGGGATACTTCACGCATTGCGCAACGCGTGAAGTATCCCTGTTAGGTTTGTAGGCGCGAATGCGCGTCTCGCGCTGGCTGCCCGCCTGCCGCGCCGCAGCGTGCCACGGCGCTTGAAGCAACTATTTCACACCAGAGGTATTGCACAGTATCATACCAAACTGAAGGCGCTCTAATATATTAGTAATGGCAGGCATCCATCAAAAGTACGGAACTTTCCTCGCAAAATAAATCAAGATACTACGGCCCAAAAAGAGAGCAGTATTCCAAATACTCACTAAGTCCTAGCATCCGTAATTAGTAACGTTTAGCATACACTTTATCGCCTGGCTGTTACTTAATCGCCATCGGCTAAGAAAGGCTATAAGAAATTGTGTAGCCGGCTATAGAAGCTATTGGAAATCTTACAGACGGCTATAGGTCCTTGGTGTTTTGGAACACAGATTCTACTGCCAATTTTTACCAGGGTCTTGCCGTCATCAATTAGTGAGATACTCATTTGCACTGACTACTCT